TGCAAGTCCGGCAACTGGAGATTGCTAATCTTGACTGAGCGGTCTCTCAGGCAGCATTTTCTTGTCTGTCTGAAACATATGTCGCATGACACTGGAAGTAGGTAGCCTCTTTCAGCAATCCCCTGAACCCCTCGCTCCTCCCCCCCCCCCTGAGCCAACAAAGCCTTCGACCCCTAAATCCTTGTCCGCCGACACCAGCGAAAAGCAGATTCTGGGCTTGCCCATAACAACACCGCAGCTCGGCTGAGCCAAGAGCACTACAACCGTCCCTGCCACCTTTCAAAGATGTCTGGAACAAACGCCACAGATGTGTGCCCACGGAAGCTCAACTTCCTGCTGCTGCATGCTAGCTCTCCCGCGCAGCAAGCCTGTAACGCAGCGCAGATGCCCTAGCCGCACCGCACGCCGCACCCGCGGCCCTATCTTCATCGCTTAAAACTGCTCTCCCTTTGTCTCTCAGCCAAACCGCCGTCTGCACAGGCAATGCCCTGGACGGAATCTGCTGCAGAGCCTGTACGTTTTGTGCAGCCACAGCTGCCAAGCTCGGTGAATTCTCAACTGTAGCTTGCTCAGCCACGTCGTTTGTAACAAACTCTTTCATACGCAGGTCACTCGCTTGAGCAGCAGTCAGCCGATTAACGATGGCCAAGCTGCGAGACCTAAGTAACGCTGGCAAGTTCTGGGTTCGCACCGCCTCAAGCCTGCCAAGTACTGCGCAGAGACTGACATACAACAAGCTCCGGACCCATCACGGCGGCGGCTTTTGCTGTCCCCTCCTTCTCCCCGCAAAGCCAGCAGCCGGCCAATGAGAGAACCGTCGGTGGCCGCGGAGCCTCGTCTTGCTGCTCCCGCTTGCGCTTCGCTGCCCTTTGTACGCGTGCGAGACTCGAACAGATGTCGAACCCGCCCCTCCCCTCTCCAATCGTTGAACAACGACTGCAAGGGGAAAGTGTTACCCGACAGCTTCACAATAACACCGGCTCCGCTGCCGTCCGGGCAGGCCTGCCGGCGGAGCTCGACGCACAAATGACCGCCGCTTGCGGGCGCCAGGGCCTGCAGCGCCGAAAATGACGTGACCTCGGACACGAGCGTGATCTGCAACCCCGATTGCGAGACCCACGAGTTGACATCCATGCTCGGATCCGCATAGAGAAGCACCTGGCCGCGCAGCACACGGCCAAGCTTCGCGAACTTAGCACAAGTGACAGCGCATCGCGCCCGGCCTCCGGCAGAACACACCCACGAAATTCATCTTGCCTCAAGCGCCAATGCACGAACAACTCTGACAAATTCAACACGAAGAGCACATTGGCTTCCACCGTGAAGAAACCAGACTTCCAGTCGTTGTTCTTGTTCTTCGCGACGCACAAACGCACTTGATTCTCCGTTGCCTCAGACGACACACGGCCCTGTCCGGAAGTTCCGCCCCTCAGCGCTGCTTTGAACTTTCCTAATCGACAAGCTGCCAGGTCATCCATAGACGTCGGCAGATCGTCGACGGACCCGGATTGCAGAAATACCATCATGCGCTCCTTCAGCTTGTAGAGCATCGATGGCTTGCCCCCATGCGTTACGTCGATTTGAAAGCACACTTGGCCTTCGTCGAAACTCTCCGACACCAGCTGTGCCCTCTCGCTGTAACGAATGACAAACACTTCCAACTTCTCCGCCGAAG